TTAGGTTGATCATCTTTGGCATAGACCTGAATAATAGGCATGTTCTCTGAAATTCCTTGGAGACACATTGATATAAACTTGTCACCAGCTGCACTGCATCCCAGTGCTTATGAAGGAATATCTTTGTTTCAAAGAAATAACATTTATTCTTCTTTCTTCCCATTTGCCTTGGATCCATGTGCTGCTTCATAGAATTCTTAAGGAGCTGGCGGACTGACCCAAAGTAGGCCAGAATAGTAGATTTATAATGCATTTCTTAAAAGTGAACATAAATAATATTTTTTTAACTAGCCAAATTCTCCAAGTAACTATGTGTAGCCCCAGATGCCCTTGTTAAGCCTTATGGGGGAAATAGCCATAAAAGCATGTCTGGTTTCTTAACAAGAGGAGAGCTATCTTGAAAGTCATTGCTGATTCAGTTGTGCAGAGTGCTGTTCCACATGAAGCTCTTTTGAAAGCAAAATGATTGAGTTCAATGTTGACGTCTAGTCCAAATGTTATTTTAATTCTGTTGTCCTGTGTCACCTTGCTGCTGAAGATGGTTTGTTCCCTATGAATTATTGGATACTGTCCCAGAATGCACTCCATGTTTCTTCTTGGATCAGAGGACAAACCAAAAGTGTCCAAATATTTTGGTTGCCCAAGACTTTGTGGTCATTTGGAGGTATGCAAACCTGAAATGACGTAAAGAACATTATTGGTAGGTCCAAGAAAATGTACTAATGCCCCTCAAATATATACTGGGGTATACATTACAGTATAAAATTCTTACAATTACATTCAGATGTAATAACTTGTCATGGAAGCTGACTTTCTCTTCAGAATCAGATACTTTGCTGAGTTTGTGAAGCTGCATCCAAGACTTAAGGCTACTATTGGAAGGCAGTTCAGCCTTTAGCAAAATTGGGGAATTTTCAAAGGAGGCAGCTTGGAAACCTATTTATTCATGGAGAAATGAGGGAATTTTCTTCACAACAGGCAAGCAATCTTTGCTGCATCTGTCCTCAGTCCCACATTTGTCTACTCTTTGAAGAGTTCTGTTGCCTCAGCCCTCCCACACTTTAACAGGCATTTCCCTAGGTGTTTCTGTTTGAGAGAAAGTCTTGTGCCTGCTCACCTTCTTTCTTAGCATAATGGAGACCTCCAGAAATTTGGAGGCTAAAAATTGCTCCTGTTTCTCCATTTTGAGTTTGATAAGGCTCGTAAGGTTATCCCAGTAGAGTAACCCAACTATCAGGTATTTGTTTTATTATTTTGAAAAACTTGTTAGTGTGATCATTTGTAGTGTTCTGGCCAGGTTGGGAGTAGGGGGCACCACTCTGGCTGGTTGACCAGTTCCAAATGTTGGTGCTGCGGGACTGTCACTTACACCATGGAGGTTGCATCATGGAGTTCCACTGGGTGAGGTCATCTGGAGGTGCGGGCTCTACCTCACTTTTTCATCTGATCTAGGTGAGGCAGGCAGTAGCTGTCCTGAACCGGGCATTCTCAGAAGTAGTGCCTAGACTATGGAATTCATTCCCCAGGGATAGCCACCTGGCACTTACTCTTCTTTCTTTTAGGGGCTAGTTGAAAACATTTTTACTTAAACAAGTTTTGGGTTAATTTAATTTAATTTAATTTAATTTAATGATTTATTTTTTGTTATGGATTCTTTATCTTAATTTAATTTTGGTAAATTTGTTGGTTGTGTTTATTCATGTGTGTGAGTATATTTTATTATGAGGTATTATCTGTTATTTTATTGTTTTACCATTTTACCTGAATAATAACTGTTTTATTGTAATGCATATATGTTTTTGTGCTGGCCTAGCACAGTCAGCTTCCCAAAGAACCGTCGGGTTATGGGGTGGCATAGAAATGGAATTAATTAAATAAATAAATCTTGAGAGCACCGCAGAAACTTGGTAAGCATCCACTGGTGATGAAAAGGGTGTGTTACTATGCACATAACAGTATGTGTTTTCTTAACATTAAAGATTTGTTCATTATTTATATCATTTCAATACTGCCCAATAGCCAAAGACTCTGTTGTGACTATTTACATTTGATTCAGGTCTGGTATTATAGTTTGCCTGACATGATTTACTTACCTGGTATTTCAGTGTCAGCATAATGTCTTTTAATCAAGCTACTTCACTGGATTGTGGCCTTACAATTTCCAAACCCAGCTTGTTCTTTTCTTGCTCCCATGTTGCATCACTTTTTGAAAACTCACTTAAAGCATGTGTTTTGTCATTTATAGTATTGGGAGAGGTAAGAATCCTCTTGACATACAAATGGTGGTTCGTGGCTTCTGCAGCCTCTAAGCCAGTGTTTCCCAAACTGAGGCCTATGAAGGCAATATTTTTGCATTGTGTAAGAGTAAGAACACCATGCCTCCAGAAGAGCCAGTTCCATTGTGTTTCTGTGTGAGTCTTTGTTCAGGACTTGTCACCTCTGTGGTCAAATAATTCAGCTGCATTTCTACATTTAGGCAGAGTCATAGCTTGGTGGCAGAACATGTGCTTTGCATATGCAAGGTCCAAGGTTTCTCCAGGTAGGGCTGGGAAAGACTCCTGTTTGACCTCCTGGAGGTCCACTGCTGGTCAAGAGTATACACAGTACTGAGCTAGATGGACCAATGGTCTAGCTCAATATCAGGCAGCTCCTATGTTCCTGTTTTACATCCAGAGCAACTGGATGATCAGCAGAAGCTGACTGGTAGGAAGCATGGCCAGAGCAGCAAACCACACAGAAATTCACTCAATGGTCCCCTTTGTAGTCTTACTCATGACGCTCATACCAGCCTTCAGTTCCTTCAAATTGTTTCTTTTGACACACTAGCAGTTCTCTCCGGCACACAGTTTGGGAATCACTTCTCTAAGCTCTTATTTGCCAGGGTTATCTTCTGGATATGTGTTCTTACTACTGCACTTGCCATTCTGAAAGTCAGAGTTCTATCAGTGACCTGTGAGTCGTTTGTTGTTTCATAATGCTGCATATGCCATATAATCTCTGTAGAGTCTTTGGGTTCACAAATGCCAAAGAGGCCATCCTCTGCCTTTGCATGTCCTCCTTATCAACTACCTATTCCAATTTCCATGGGGCTTGCTCATCTTGCTGCTACTGGAGCCGACACTAGGGTTTTTCCAAAATATACAATTCTGATTTTGCAAATAATTGCAATCCTTGGTCACTGCTTTTGTAATATGGTGTCAAATGCATTTTCTTGCTTATGAAAATCTACCAGGGCAATATACATGTAAGCGGTTTGCTTGAGCAGGTATTGCAGGGCTGCTTTCTTAGGGCACAAGGAAAATCTGTAACACCTGTATAGCCATTTCAAAAATAAATATCCTAAAGGTAAATCTGATTCAGAACTGCCCTCCGTTTGAAATAATACCGTAAAAACAGACACAATTAATCTTTGGCTCTGGAGAGCTCCATATTATAGATATTGCATTTCATTGTGCTATTTGGAAAATGAACTGAAAAGGACTTTCATATTAGAAAATACACTATATATGGAGGTATGCTTTTTCTTGGGATAGAAAGAAGTTCAGAACGGAATGAATAAGGTATGTGTACTCAAGCATCAAAAAGTCTGTGAAGAAAAGTGCTTCTGATGGTCTGAACTACTGATGGTCCTGGAAATAGCTTGAAGTAAGAGAAATGATATTACTGCTGCTGTTTCATTTAGTTTGTAAGAGTGCATATGTCAAACATGAGACATGATGAAAGCTATTCATAAAGTTCAGGCAATAGCAATGCATTGCATTGCATCAAATACAAACTTTGGGTAGATAGATCATTCATAAACTTGATTGTGTTGAGCAGTTCATGAACAATTTACAGAATAGGCTGTCAACTATCCATTAATTACATGTCAAAATTTTCGTTCACAGGTTATTAAATAACCTGTGCTTTTAAAGTATTTTTCACACTTTCCCTTCCTGTCACCCCACCATGCTACAACGCCTTGCATCAATTGTAGTGATCTATGCACGTTTCCTCTTAGTTGCTAAGTATGCATTCTAAGAGAGGTTAGTTTCTTTTGTTGCCTTGCTAAGGTTACCTTGCTTAACCATTTGGATAAAGAAACATATTCACATTTCTAAGAAAATTGCATGTGTTGATTGTCTTTTTAAGAGGAACAGTGCAACAGTTATGAGAACTATCATTTGTATGTTTTAATACATTCAGTAGACTTTTTAAATCATAAGTGGCATATACTGTACAAAAACAGATGTGCCACTGAATACCAATTGCTGGAGGGCAACGGTATTGGAGGGGTGATACTGCCTTTGTGCTTTTGGACCATGTTGGAAAACCATGTATCCCAGAAGATGGGCTCCAGTCTTGATCCAGCAGGGGGTTTCTTGTGTTCTAAGTACTTCTCTTCAAGTATTCCCTTTTATATGGTGACATCTTTCCCCCATCCAGCAAAATATCTTCTGTGTCTCATGTAATTATTTTCACATCTATATCTTTAATCTATTTTCTTGTATTTGTATTTCTCATATGATTATGTAATCTTGCTATTGCTCTTTCATTACTTTTGCTACCCCTTTCTTCCTTCAGTCAGTTTTTGTTGTATTCAATGGGGTTTTGTTTTGTAAAGGTACACTTCTTTCTCCCTGCTGATTCTTACCTGCTTTCACACACTGGGAAATGAAATGGTTTCTCCTATCTACTTCTCTAATTCAGTGGGTTTTTTGGAAAAGGTGGATCTAAAGATCTGCAAAAGGTGGATCTAGAGATTTGAATAGAAACATTTGTTCTTGAAGCATGTGGTTTTTACTGATATGAAAGTCCTTTGTGGTAGTAAAGAATCTGTTTGCAAAGATTCATTTTAAAAAACTGCTGATTGGAAATTTGGGCTGAAATGGTTATTGCTAATACAGGCTCTAGAAATTTTATGTTTAGTGCATTGAAATGGCTATACAGGCTCTAGAAATTTTATGTTTAGTGCATTCAGATAACTTGAGTTCACTGTTTTCTTTCTCTTGTTGCCTCAGGTTGAGGAACGTTCCAGGCTCAACCGACAAAGTTCTCCAGCCATGCCTCACAAAGTGGCCAACAGGATATCTGATCCAAATTTGCCTCCTCGCTCAGAGTCCTTTAGTATTAGTGGGGTACAGCCTGCTCGGACCCCACCAATGCTCAGACCAGTGGATCCACAGGTATGGTGGCTTACTGGAGCCTCATTTTCTTTGCTGGCTGTTTGCAAATCAAACAGGAATTCAACAAATGTTTCTCATGAAAGGTAACGTCCTGTCTATTCATTCTTCATCTACCAAGAAGTGATTCACAGTCATATTTAAAATGCCAAGACAAGGTTGCAGCAGCAGTGATGGTGATGTCCAGTTGTCTATTTGCAGTTGATTTGAGCATGCTGAGTTAATATTCTAAATGCTGAGACAGGTTCCAGCATGCAACAGCCTTATCAGTTTCACTGCTCATGGTTATTGTTAGGTGCAGTCCTAGTACATTAGTTCATCATGTGAAAATCACCTAGAAAAAGCGTGGAAGGTTTGTTTTTCTTTTAAATGTCCTCACAGGTAATCTTTCTGGGGCCATATGCCAGTATCAGGTGGGCCCAGAAGCTCACCCCACATTTTCCTTTCTCACACACTCCATCCATTCACTCACATATACCAGGAGACACAGATCAGTGCAGTCCTCCCTCCCTTCTCCTCTTCCTTGCTCAGGGCCGCACTACCAACCAGGAGCCCAGTATAATATATTTTTTAACTTCCTCCACCCCAGATCTAAAGAATATGCTGTGTTCGAAGATGTAATGAACCAGAAGTGTAAAGAAGGTATTTGAGTGATCATTGCTTCCTTGAGATAGGAACGGTTTATGGATTTACAGATCCATATACCATCCTTATATGACAGACGAGATACTGTAAGTGACACCTTAAAATAAAAAGCTTCGAGTGTAGGAAAAACTGAAAGGGGAAGTAAAGCCGTGAGAACTCCTACATCATCCCTTGAATAAAAAGGGGTTATTGCAGCCGAGGCCTTTTGCAACACTGGCAGTGCCTTTTGTAATCATACAGTCACAAAGTTGATGCTCTGGAAAGTACTGTTTAGGAACGTGGCTACAATCCAAAGAATAGTCAGGAAGGAATGGGATCGTCTCAGTAGAAGATGATTCCTTTGCTCCTCAGCCTTCCATGGAGAAAGGCAAACGGAGGTAGCTCCTGGAGCCATTGTTTCAAGAGACTGCACGTGTTTTGAGTGAGCTTCTCTCATCTTTCCTTTGGAAAGGCGAGGGGAGGGACACATTAGAAGCTTCTGGGTAAGCAGGCAGGTGAGGGTAGTTGAGAAGCCATGGTGCTGTGGGAAAGAGGCTGTGGGCCAGATGGCTGTGAGCTGCACCCAGGGCAAGAGTCAACAGCTTCCTGTCCTGACCTAGAGAATCAACATATGTTGTGTTAACTCGGTGGGAAAAAGTGGGATCTGTCTTGCAAGGTTATAGGGGCCACACGGTCCAAATTAAACAGGGCACATAAATGCTGGCATAGAGGCCTATCTAAATAATAGTTTGCTGATGGGGAGGGCACGTTTTGTCATTGTGGTGGGGAAAGTGCCTGGTGAATTTAAGTAATCTGATTTAAATAATACATGCTCAGTTATTTATCTACACAGAACCTAATGAAAAGTCAACACTCACTGCTGAACAGCTCGAGAGGTTCCAAGACGTGCATGTTTGTCATTGGCTTAATCCATTGATAGAGTATAACTCAAGGACCTCTTTTCATAGTTGATATTTAGTAAAATGTGGGGGAGACACAACCATCTTTGGAAACATGCATCCTATCAGTACATTCACCAGAGAGCCAAGATTGGATTCAAATCCTTGCCAAGTATACACTTGCTGACAAAACTTGGATTTGCTTCCTCTTAATGGGCCTGAGTTAAATGAGAAATGAGTAGCTATTTGAGCATGTGGGTGAATAAGGAGAGCATTGACATTCTCATGTTTCCATTCATAACGTGATCACCAGTTCTGTTCCAGATCACCCTTTTTCCTCCTCTCTTCAGTTATAGAACCAAACCTTGCTGTTACATTGTTAAAGCAAAGCAGGTGTCAGCATCTCTGCTTCTCCAAAAGCACCATGTAAGCATGTCTAAGCTTTCTGAAGGAAAAGTAGGATATGTATAATAAATATTCCCCTTGCAGTCTTGGGACCAGTCAGGTGGTAGCTACCAGGGAAGGAAAATTAAAGAATGAGTATAAAATATTTGTATGCTCCAGTTTGCATCTTTTCCTTCAACTAAGCCGAAACAAAGTAATGAACAGCTTCTCACCATCAGTGCTTTTCCCACGTTTTTCCCAATCCAGTATGGGTCATTTATTTCAATCATCCATGTTGAAAATAGCTTTGCAGAAGTTGAGTTCGCTTGGCAAGTCTGGAGAGAAAACCAGAAGCTCCTGCTGCCCTACACTCCAAACCTGCTGTCAGTAATAAAATGTGTTTGTAGGGACACACAGGACTTCAGTGTGTTCATGTTAGAAGAGAAAGACAGTATTTTCCAAATGCAATCCCTGAGATTTTCCAAAGAAACAAATTGTACTTAAGACTTACCATGGATTTTTTTCTTCTTGTAGCAGATCAATCGGTTCCAAATAATTAAAAAAGTATCCATAAAAGCTTCACATAGCTCCTTTCTTCCTTCCTTCATTCCTCCTTTCCTTCTTCCTTTCCCTACCTTTTTATTTATTTATTTTTGGCAACTCAGTGCAACCAAAAAAGAGGAGTACCAGCCTTGTGAATAAGTCTGTAGCAGAAAAGCAAAAGGTGCTAATAGTTTTTGGCAACCCATCAGAGCCTTAAACTCCTGAAAACAGCCACTTCTTTGCATGTTTCTTTAATACAAGAAGCAAAGCTCCAAGGAAATACTATAGCAGGTTAGTTAGTATGCTGGTACACTGTTAATGCCCAAATGTATGGGGGAAAATCAAGTCTCCTCTGTTTTTGGAAATACCTGGACCTGCAAAACTAAAAAACAAAGCCATTTCATATATAACATTTTGAATTCATCTCATAAATAACACATTATCATATAAAGATGATATAATATTTGTATTATATTGCCTTCCCCACCTTGGCAACTTTCACCTGCTTGAGCTACAATTCTCATCATTTACCCAGTCAGCAGTTTTGCTAGCTAGAGGATTATGGGAGTTGTTGTCCAACATATCTGGAAAGTGCCAGTTTGGGAAGGCTGATGTAGAGAGGGACAGAATTAAGGCTAAATGAGGAATCTCATCTTTGGCATTTCCTGACCTCAGACTGTTTAATATTGTAAGCTCTGAATCTTCTTATATTTTAATGAAATACCAAAAAGAAGTTCAATACCAAAATATGAAATTGGGAAACAAAGTTTAAAAAAAGAAGACATGCAAACTATTTTAAAATTCTGCAAACTATTTATTTTAGTACTTTTTCAATTTATACTGATGATTTTGTTTTAACTTGGTGCATAGATTCCACATCTGGTCAGTGTGAAATCCCAAGGACCTTCCTTGCCTGCCTCTCAGTCACTGCATGAACAACCCACAAAGGGAATGGCTGGGTTTCAGGAGGCTCTGACGGTGACCTCTCACCGCACTGAGATGCCAAGGCAGAACTCGGACCCCACCTCTGAAAACCCTCCTCTCCCCCCTCGTGTTGAAAAGTTTGACCGAAGTTCTTGGTTACGACAGGAGGAAGACATTCCGCCAAAGGTAAAAATTGGGTCACTGCTAACTTGAAAGGTTTGGAATAGGGACTTTCTCAATTCAACTGCAGTGGCACCTTAGACCCTACTCATACAGGACCAAATGTTCTTCCACCACAGTTGCACCGACAACGTCTCCTACCATATGCACATGAATAGGCAGATTCGCCTACGCATTGGGAATATGCATCAGGTTCCTTTATAGGGAAGGACCAAATATTAGTAGCAGAGCACATGTTTTGTGTGAAGAATGCCTCTGGTTCCATCTCTGGCCTCTCTAGTTAAAAAGTTCAAGTAACACTCAATGTGAAAGCACTGGGCTACGACAACTCCACTGACCTGCAGTGAAATAGCTTCCTACTTTGCTTGACTGGTTGTGACTCCCTGGTCTAAGTCCACTACATGTTTAGACAGAAATTTATCTACTATATGAAAGGTAAAGTAGCCCTTAACTATTGGTAACACTGGACAGAAATTTTCATTGAAGCAATGATCTAATTACAGGGTTTAATGGAATGCACAAGCTCTACTTGACCCTAAAGAGAACTGTTAGAAGCTTAAAACTTGCTTTACCAGATCAAACCTGTAAGCTTTCTAGGTTGACATCATGCCTCCAAATTTAATCAATACCTGATAAAATATCCTGTAAGGGCTCAGTAAGCATCAATTACGTAATGGCAGGCACTCTTCAACAGTGTCTAGCCAGAATTAAGTCCCATTGAATTCAATCAGCTTAGTCCTAGGATTGCAGCCTAAAGCTCTTTTCCAATACACTAATGCAGTTGCGATGTTTATAAACTTGATTTTTTGGATGAATTACAAGATGACTGCTAAAAGTTTCTCCACTGCTGAATTAGAGCTTTACTTTGGTTCACCTGCTTTAAAAATTGAAAAGTTATAAGAATTGGTTGGATGAAGCAACATCAGTTGTGATTTTTCAAAGATAAAAGCAGCCAAGGAACAATTTGGCTTGATGTTAAGAAAGGCTTATCACTAGGTGTTTCTGGAAGTGATTTATGATGTTGACATAGGGCATCTTAGCTGGTGAGTCTTGAATTTTGTAACTGGCTATAAAATTAATCCCAAATTACTGAGCTTTGAAGGTATATGAATAACTATGCATAGAAGTGTCCATGCTATAAAGTGCATAGAATGTGATGGTAGGATTAATTCAGGATTAAGGTAGAAGACAGGGTGAATAAAGAGGCAGCTAACAAAATAGCCAGAAAGTACTTTTGCAAAGAAAAGAAAATGCAATCTGCCTGTAACTTGTCTTATTCAATTGTAGATGCAAAACAAAAATACACCAAATGCACATATGTGCAACTAGTATGCATAACTGTCTTATACACTGTTTCCTAGACAAAAGTCTCTTCTGTCTAGTAGTTCTCAGTCAGTCAAAGGTGGAGCTGACAGGTATGGTTCTCTCTACCATGAAAAGGCAGAGCTAAAAGATACATTTCACTCTGTGCAAGGAGGAAACCCCCACAGCCTTTTGTTCTGCCTTCTAGGGAATGGCACAGTGCTTAGCTTGCTATTTAGCTACTGCTGTGGAACTTCTGAAGACAAAGCGAACACAGCCTCACTTCTGTCTCGCTCTACCCCCATGTTCATATTGATTTGTCAGTAGCAAGAGGAAAAGTTCATTAGGGCCAACCCTGGCTTTTCTGGGCTGGGCAGCCACTCCCTTGAGGCTCTCCAAACACCAAATACCTCCTCAGGAACCTCTGCCAAAGCTCCTTGGGAGAAAGGGGGCTGACTGGAACTCTGTCTTTCATCACTGCTGCCTGTTCAAACCAAGGGCACCATCGCAATGCACAGATGGAGTCTGGTATGTCACTAATTGATGGGGAGCAGACTCCATGTGCAGTAAACCTCTCTGCATTGCTGAGGAAAAATCCAGCAGCCATTTTGGAAGTGGGCCTACCACAGCAGAGTGTTCTCCTCCTGTACTGTCCTCCCTGGTGGGGCTCACACAGAGCCAACACACATCTGCCCTCAGCCAGGGGCCCGGTGATGCCCTTCAGGGAACTGCTTGGATTACTGGATTCGTGATGGTGTTTGCATGGAGGGTGAACAGCAGCAGCAACATAACACCATGGCAGGAGGAGGAGAAAACCCCTTCTTCTACATTCAGCAGGTCATCATAGAATAGTAGAGTTGAATGGGGGAGTGTGGGGGAGCCCACAACCTCCTTCGGTAACTGGTTCCATTGCCATACTGTTCTAACAGTCAGAAAGTTCTTCCTGATGTCCAGTCAGAATCTCGCTTCCCATAACTGAAGCCCATTATTCCAGGTCCTACACTCTGGGATAATTGAGAAGAGATCCCGACCCTCCTCTGTGGGACAAGCCTTTCAAGTATTTGAAAAGTGCTATCATATCTTCCCTCAATCTTCTCTTTTCAAGGCTAAACATAAATTCTTTTGTTTCAGTCTCTTAAGGCTTTGTTTCCAGTCCCCTGATCATCTTTTATTCCCTGTTGGTTTTAGACTGCAGCTCAGAACATAGGGAAGGGACAAGGTGCTGCTGTGGGGGGGACAGACAAACCCAAGAAATCCCAGAAGGGACAGCAGCTGAGCAGCCGGTCATCCTCGGGCAAGGCTTCCCCTCCTTCCAAATGACCAAAATCAGCTGGAGAGAGCGGCGGGGAGAGAGTTTGTTGCTGCAGGTGCACAGTCCAGAGAACCAACTGTCCCTTCCTAGATGCAGGTGGGAGGCAGTGTGCAAGAATCTCTCAGGGGTTGCCTCTGCCCTAAGTGAGCACTACCAGGGAGTACAGGAGTTGAAGGAGGTGAACTGTCCGAGTGAGATCATGCTAGCTGCACTTCCTTGCAGCAAAGATTATTTAGGCAGAACATTTTCTGCATTATTCTCAAGAAAACCTGTATAATATCCATGCTTGGACCAAGACAACTGCTCCTGAAGATCAGCTGCAAGAAGGTGCAGATGCTGTTCCAAGTGACCCCCTATCGGGGCCTGCAGTCACCCTTCAAGGTTTGTCTTCAGAGTTGTAGTCATACAGTGGAAGGACGCTCCCAAGCAGGAGTCTTCCTTGGTCTTGCACAAAAGATTCATGGAGTCACTGAAGATTCCCACTGTGGCTGAACTGGTGGCAGGGTGCGCTTCTGAGTTGGTTTTCCATAAGTGGAGGGACACCCTGGTGACTGAAAAAGTGGCATGGTCCTTCGGTGGCTGCATGACACCGCAGCCTTGGCAAGAAGAGCAGCTTTGGCAAATTTGGTCATGGCCTGGGCATCAGTCTTAGGGGAACATCCCTTTCTTCGACATGGCCTCTGTGCATCACACATATGGGTGCTGTGCCTGCGCTGTGCCTGTGGCCGGAAAGATTTAAAGCTTAAAGGTTTTGGCGGGAAATCCGCACCCCCTCCCCCCCACAGTATAAGAAGGCGGAGTGCCCGCCATTTCCTCAGTCTTCTTGCGACCACCATTCGCTGTGCCTTGAGCCTTTTGTCTCTCAGTTTGTACTATATCGTGTATCTTGTTACCTAAACCGCTGTTTTTCTCTTAGCTTGTTAAGATTCCAAGTTACTACCCTCCCTGTTAGAAGTTTTCTTCACATTCCCCCATCCCTTTTTCCTGTTCCGCCCCCCCCCCAAGAAAAAAAGTTTTGCTCTCCATTCTTACCTTTGCTATCTTCTCCTTTTTCATCCTCGATGGCTCAGCGTGTGGCTTTCCGCAAGTGTTCTCAGTGCGGATCTAAAATGTCGCCTACTGATCTGCATGATCTGTGTCTTCTTTGTCTTGGAGAAGGACACAGGACCGATAAATGCAGCCATTGCCAGGCCTTTACTAAGCAGAAGAGGAAAAATCCAGAGAACCGCCTGCACAAACTCTTAAGGGATCAAGCCCTGCTCCAGTCTGATCAACTAGCAGGCAAATCCTCTGTGCTGCCCTCTTCTTCAGCTACCCCTCCGCCTTGCCCATCGACTGATGGTGCGCCCTTATCAGAGGGTCAGCGCTCCTCTACATCTCCACATAAGCAAAAGAGAAAAGGAAGCACAATGGATCGGACAAGTCCTCAGGCCACAAGAAGCCTAAGAAGGACAAGGCGGGCAAGACAGCGCGCAAATCCAAGAAAACCGATCAACCCCAACACCGTGATTCGGGTTCGTCTTCCCCGTCGATCCCTACGGCCGCTTCGGTACCGACACCAACCGGACCGGCTCTTCAGCTGGTGATGCAAGTGACTCCACCTGGGTCCCCACAACGGGTCGCCCCTTCCGTCCCGTCTTCGCCTGAACACCAAGAGGCTGCCACGTTGGGATCGATCTCTGATGGAGAGATCGGTAACTCTCCTCCAATGGCATACTCGCCCACACAGCAACCGTCGCCTGAGGCTTCCCCGAGAGCTCCACCTCAACAGGTGCAATACCAGCAGCGTGCCTCCATCCGTCCCTCTGGAGAATGGGTGCAAGCGCCCCAAAGATCAGCTCATCATGAACCGTGGAACGACTATGCACCCTATGGGTATTACCCCTCGGTACATGACTGTACCCTCTCTCCGGCCCCGAGGGACATTCCATCAACCTCCAGAGCAGCTCAATCCAGGTGCCCTTTTTCGCCAGTCAATTCCTCCTCCAGCCCTCCGCCCCATTATGACTCTGATTTGGAGGACTTGGAAGTAGCCTCTACTTCGCCAGACATGGTGATCACCACTCAAGGTACCAGCTCACTGAAAGAGTGGTACTCGGCGTTTGGGGAATTGATGGCGAGACTGACGAGGTCACTGGAGATCGAAGCCCAGCACTGCTTCTATCCCAGTACTGATAAGTTCTACAACATCATCAAAAGTGAACAATCTGCCACCATCATCTTGCCACTTATCACCACACTTCGTCAGGCGATGATGGAACCATGGAACTTCCCCAATCAGGCACAGCCAACTTCACGATGCTATGAATCCATGTATCGAGTCCGTGAGCAGGATATTCCATTCCTCCTGGGTCACCCGAGACCGAACTTGATTGTCATGGAGTCGTCTCAA